TATTTAAGCCATATCATAAAAAGTTTAATAGACAAGGTTCACTGAACATATCCATATGCTTTACAAGAACTTTCCCTTTTTATGTGATTGATGTAAAAACAATTTTTCATGTGCTGGCCTTCTGCAAGCATTAAATTTCAAGAAATATTAATGTACTTTTAGCTGGTCTTAATTATTTGAAATAATACAATCTTAAACAATGTCTCCCTTTGTATAATTTGGTTAACATTGCAGTGCACGTTTTTTTTTTTAAGGAGAAATTAAAAACTTTCCGTGATAAAGGTCATTTGAATGATATAATTGTCATATGGGAATATTGATAATTGATTTTGATTAGATTCACGTGAATAATTACTCCTGATTTGTTTCAAGGAAACGCTTAAGTTGAATTCTTAAATAATTAATTCTAAATATTCAAAAATTATCCTTCTCTTTCTTTTGTTCATGTATGAGCACAACTGAGCATAGGGTAAAAAAATGCCTCAAACAAATAATCTAAACAGAAATATATTGGGTTTAAACCATTATAAGCTCTATTCTTCTGGTCAATCTATGGGCAATGTTCAACTTCGAATGGGATTTGAAAAAGAGCCCATATGAACTCAGATGGTCTGTCGGACAGAAGGATCACTATAGGCTACAAACATCAGCACAATTAGAGCTTCTTTAAAAAGCTTCCCGTCTTTAGCGTCTTCCAAGAAAGATGGTAATTACAAGATATTTAAAATTGTTACTATTTAGTCCACCGAATTCTTCAATGATCTGACTCGAAAAAGTTAACCCCCTGCCCCATTCAGAATCAGATGGTCGTCCCCTAGTGGCGTGGATAAAAAATATACTTTTTATATTTATTTTGATGAAAAATGTCGAACTACTTTTCCAAGTCACCCTTTCCCACCTTCGTTTTTCAGAGATCAGAGATTTTTTGCCTTGCTCTGTTTGTTTGCTGGATTTTTGAGATTGGTAAATTTTTTTGTATTTTTATATTTTTTCACATTAATTTTTTGCATTAAAAGAAGAAACAAAATATTTTGCGTGACTGAAGAAATTCATTATTTCAACATACAATGTGTAGAGAAAAATAAGAAAGTGTTTGAAATATGGTAAAAATTACTTGTGTCAAAAAGATCTAACAAATGTTCTACCAAGTTCCAATATGTACTTTTGACAGAATTAGTTACTGATGTAAAAGAGAAACTATGGCTTCGATGTGCTGTATCATATTATAGAATATTTGAAGCTCTAGTTAGAAAATCGCAGTGTTAAATCTCTAATATCGAAGAAGGGCAATTTTTCTACTCTGTACAGCCAGTCCTCATTCGATTTAAAACAAGGGTAACTAGTGCTAATTGTAACGGGGACCGTTACAGATGTTCCCCAAACGCTCCCAAAGTTTCTTTTGGTGCCATATCCCCTGTAAGCTTCATTAAATAATACAAACTCTATGCATTTGAGATTTTAACAACATTTTCCCAGAAGTGTACCAAGTTCATTCAAATTTTAGCTTTGCACGCGTGCACGTGTGAATGCATGTGCGTAATGACCATATCATATTGTCTACACAATCTATATATTTTAATATACTAAATATTAAAGTATTTAATACAAAAGTATTAAAAATACGCTCATTTAAATGCATTTTTGATTTTACTCATTTCACGTGCACGCACGTGCATACATGAACATGGTGATCATACCTTCTTGTAGAAGTCCATTACATCTATCTATGTTCTAAATCCCACCCCGTTTGGCTGAAAACCAAGGGAGTTATAGCTGTTTAAAGTTTCAGCCAATCACATTGCAGCACACGTACACGCACGTGTATGCATGTGCATAGTGACCATACCTTCTTGTAGAGGTCCATTATATCTATCTATGTTCCAAATCCCATCATGTTTGGTTGAAAATCAAGGGAGTTATAGCTATTTAAAATTTAAGCCAATCAGATTGCAGCGCACGTGCATGCACGTGCTTTCATGTTAATTGCTATATATCATGTTGTAGGATATCCTAATTTATGGCTATGTTTAAAATTTCAAAGGATTTCGTCAAAAAACAAGAAATATATTGAGACTTTAGTTTCAGCCAATCAGAGCGAAGCGCACGTGCATGCGCGTGAGATCTTGCTATTTTAACCGTTTCATATTGTCTATGCTACTAATATATCCTTATATTATGAGTTTCAAAGCATTCCATCAAAAATATAAAAGTTACGCCTATATATCATTTAAATCGGTCATTTCACGTGTTGCACGTGCATGCTCTTGCAAGCACGTGCGCGCAAAATGACCTTCGTTCCGCAAATCTACATAACATGCCTACTGACCCTAAAAAGGTTTTACCTAAGTCGGATGTGTAGTTTACAAGATCACTCCCGGACAAAAAAGTACCCAGGAAGAAGAAAAATAATAATAAGAAGAAGAAACAGAGTAAAAACAATATGTTCCCCAACTTCGTTTGGGGAACATAAAAATGAAAGATTCAAGACTCGGTCAGAAATCGTAAAAATTTTAGATATCCCCTGACTGATATTATTAGTTTAAAAAGCATAATTATGGGATACGTGGAAAGTATAGCATAGTGTATGCTGAAAACATACATGTAATTTATGTGCATCAAGTAGGGCTCATTATAAAACTTATCATAAATGCTGCTCAGATAAAGTGTTTCAAAGTATTATAATTATGCGTCGCAGCGTTCAATTCCGTTGGTCAAATCCTTATTTCCTGAACAGAAAAACTGTTCGTTTAGTGATGAAATGCAAATCATGCCAATATATATAAAAGTGAACATGCTACCAAAAGAGAAACGGTAAGTGTCAACAAGATCACTGTGAAGGCTTTGCTAAATGTAAACTTTAAAAAGAAATGAATAATTCTCCTGCTACATCGACATACAGGAATCCACGGCGGATGTGACCGTTGGCAGGGGATGTTCACTCCTCCATGACACTTGCTTTCATCTCTGATGTTTCGGAGGTCCGTGTTTGCGCTGCTTCAATTTGTATTGTTTCATGGACTTTTGAGCTTGAATATCGTTCGTTATTTCCACTTATTTGATTTGAATGTGCTTCAAAGGTGAATGAAAGGTCTTTTTAAAAACCTGAAACAAATTTATGAAAACAACGAACCTCATTCTAATACAATAGCTAACTTAAAGGAATTCTCGTTCTGTTGAAATTTTAAGGGCGTATCTTAATGTTCCTTCATGATACAAATATTTTGTGACATTGCTGGATTTTGCTCACATTAAAAGTCTGCACTAAATGAACATCAAATAATTAGACGATGATGTTTTTTGTAGTCTTGGGAGTAAATTATCAAAATTGTCAAGAAGGATATTAATGAAGCACAATTAACTGCTGTGGGTCATGTGCATTAAAATGTTAATGTCAGAAGAAAGAAATAATGAGCATTTCATTCTTTTGATCTATTGCATAAAATGACTCTCGTCATATTAGATAACTTGTACTTTTAAACTTATAATCAATCTCTGCTTTATCAACAACGTGACGAAGGGGCCGAAAAGTTGTGCTTCTCCTGCACACCGTAACAGAAATTCTTAAACTATTAGTTTACAGGATTGATCAAAACAATTAAGAAATGTAGATATATCTTTATAAATAATTGACATATAACTTAATATTTTTTATCAATTCGTGTGATTCATTCATCGTAACATCTATATATAATGATCATGAGAAGTTTTAAGGGCTTTAATTCTATATTTTAAATAATATCAAAATTGTACAAGCTTACAATATGGCTTAATTTATTTCGATTTTAACTTAATTAATGGTTTAATTTAAATGCTTCAATTTCCATTTAATGTTATTGTCATGTAAATTCTTTCAAACAAACTTCATAATCTCATTAAATTCGACATTTTAATTTATATACATGTCTATGATGCTAAATCAGGAAAACAATAAGATAGTGTATATAATGTGTGTACTTTTTTGCCATAAAGACATTATCAATGGATCAATGGATTATTTTTATCTGTAAATTTGAAAATATCGAGAGAATTCAGCTTCTTAAGGTCAAACTTCGAAGTTTTGTTTTTGCAAAACAGTATTGAAAGTACTACATGTATCTAATTGGTTCATAATGTTTTATGTCAAAATACTTATTGTAATCAATACATCTTCATAATATTTATTTAATGATTTCGTTTTACAACATTTAAACAACTAGATGGAAGGCATTCATCAGCAATAAGCTGCTTGTCTATATAGCATCATGTCCTATAACCTACTTATAAGTGAAGCCATACACAGTGTACATTAAGAACATTATTTATCTTTATACTTGTCAAAAAAAGTGTAAGTGACGTTTTTTGAAACATGCACTATAAAAGGAGTTCAGTGCACTTTAACATTTCGAAAGAACTTTTAATGATTTCAGATTTTTTTCGGTTCCTATTTAATGATTTCGTAATATTAGAAATAGCAATATGATAGAACATTTTGTTATAAGTTGATGAAAGCTCATTCACGTAATTTATAATTAGTTTGTGAGGCTTATAAGATCTAACAACACACTTATTAGGTCTTCAGACTATGCATTTTGTTGCAAAATTGATACAACAAAAAGTCAGCATATTATATTCTAATAATATTATTAAGTCATATGCTGACTGTGGTTTCTCATAATAATAGTTTTTATACTCTAAATTTTCGAAAGATGTTTCCTTTATTTACCGATCATGACAAATTGCACACGATGCGTGTGACCAGTCGGCAGGAGATGCACACTCCTCCATGGCACACGATCCCGCATCTGGTGATGTTTTAGAGGTCCTGGTTTTTAAGCTCGCTTATATTATCTCTATTAAAATCATTATGCATCTGCTTTTTTTCTTTCTCAATGACATGAAACAATTCATGATTAAAAAATAATAAGGTTAGGTTCATTTTTTAAAAATGATTTTATTTCTCAATATTCAATAAGACTTTCTGACATTGTTCACAACAAGTCTGTCAAGTTTTAATTCTGTCATATCAGAGGGCGACTCTCTGTTTATTCTGACTGTTTTAGTAAAAGTTCATCTAGGAACTTCTGTTTGTTCATTGTTTATGTTACAATTGCACATCATTCTGTTTTCTTTGGATTAATGCTTCACCACATAAAAACCTCTTCATCTGACTTTCAAGCTGATTTATTTCCCTTTTCCAAAGACTCTTATTCTCGAAATCGAAACATCAAGGTCTATTGAAAGAGTTCTGCCAGCTGTGAGGGAGAAGGCTGTGGAGATCCTCCGAAGGGAACGGAAAGTATTATCACTTTACACAACTCTTTCAAGAGAATTTTGTAATCCGTGAACTTTTTCTAACACTGGGTAATCTTTTCATTTTCAGGCTTATTTTTCTTACTAAGTTAGGTATTTTCTTTTCTTGTTGCTTTTGATACTTGGCAATTTCTTCTCTTGAAATCTGATCAATATTTTCTTTGATCTTGTAATCTGGAAGAAAGAAAAAATTGTGTCAACATAGTAAATTCTTGGTTTAGAAATATATATAATCTTTTGCGTGATTTGGTGTAATATGCCAATAGAGATACCTACCACATTGAAGAAGGATCTTGATGATTCTAGAGCAGTCTCTCCTTTCTCCACTAGTAATGTGGAACATTGCTGACTGACCTAAGTCATCCACACTGTTAACATCGCTACCGTGTTTGATTAAATATTCTGCTATTTCAAACTTTCCCTCTTCCAAAGCAAGCAATAATGCAGTCTTGCCTAAATTGTCGATTGTGTTCACATTAGCACCTGTAAATGAAAGAAATTAAAATTAATTTTTTTTTACATGTAAGTTTGAAAAATGTTGTTGTGCCAGTTTCTTTCTTCTTAAAGATGTATTAATAGTATTTACCTGCTTTGATAAGATGTCTTATCATTCTAATATCATCCATCTCAACTGCTAACATCAACGGTGTTCTATATTCCTGACTTGATTTGTTCAGGTCACATTTACCTGTAAAATATAGATATACGAATGTTACACAGATAATGCAATAAACTTGCAAAGGAAATATCATTTTGACATTTTTTGTTTCTCATACATACCATGCGTCAACAAGGCATCCAACATGTCAACGTTTCCATTAACTATGGGTGTGAATAACAGTGGGTCACCATTGTTGTCGAAAATATTTGTACTTATTCCAAAACGCAAAAACTTCATTAAATTCTTTATATCCCCGTCATAAACAACTTTCAGCATCAATTGCTCAAATGACGGGGTTTTATTCTCCATTTTGAATGAGGACATACGGTTGTACAACTGTATAAGGTTTAAACACAATTTATGATAGTGTATAATTCTTTTTCCTAAGCTCCTTTTATACCTACCTCTTACACAAATTTGCATATCTTGTTCAACAATATCTTGCTTGTTCCTGATTGGATAAAAGTAGTCTATTAAAATGAGATGTCTGTTGTGGTTAGCATATGATCATGAGAATTAATTATCTATATGTTTTATAATAATTAAATAGCCCATAATCTTTAATTGGTATAATTATATAAAATGCATAATTTATCGCGACGCCGAAGGTCACAAAATAAATTTACTTTGATGATTGCTTAATTAATGTCATTTACTGACGTTTAATATAACTCAAACGAGAGCAAAATGAATGTTTTATGGATTGTTTCTGTTTTTTTTTTAATTCACGTCCACGAAACTAAGTAGTGTGTAGAAAATATCCTAAAGAATTAATAATGTGACAGAATTAGAGAAGAGATTTTACCACGGTGACCATTTGCTCTGATGCTGATTGAAGATCTTTGTGGTACGTAAACTGTCAATGATGTATAACTATTTTTCTAATAATTCTTTAAAAGGGATGTGACTTTTTGGACGATGCATTCTCCTCTTCCGCACATTATCTTATATTTTGGATTAGCATGCGTGCTTTCTAGTTTTAATAAAATTGTAACTATATAAGATCCTGTGGCCATCTCAACAAAACATCTCTCGCAAGTATGTAAACTGTTGTAGGTCATAGAAATTACACATTTATATTATAAATTAAATATAAATTTATATAGCTGTCGTTTTTATTATCTTCCTTTGATTTGAAATTTTCTCGCAAGAGAAATTTAGTTTAACTGAAGTTCATAATATATGTGTTTAGATAAAGTAATAAGGAGAATATCTATAATACATGTATGACCTTCTAAATGCATGCAGAAAAATCTCTCATATTTATTTTCATGATCTGTTTTATTTAACTTTGATATAATAAAGCATTTATGATTGCCTGATTTCGGAACACAAAAAGGAATTGTCACTACAGAAAATCCATTTATTTGAATTCCCAATAAGGGATAACTCTTTTGCAATATAAATAAAAGAACTGGCTGGAAAAGTATATGTAAATTTCATCTTTCTGAGGAAATTTCTTAAATTCTTTAAAAGCACCTTAATGAACGAAAGTTGCCAAACAGACACATATGTGTTATTTCTATATATAACACATACGATTGCCTAATTTTTGGATCATAAAAGAGGATGTGGTTTAAGTATTCAAAGATTTATTTAAAATAAATTTTCGCTTACTAGAAATGTGAGCTAAAATATTCGAATTATTTAAATACCTTACGAACATAACTCAGAAATTTTATTGATGGTTTCCTTCATTCTTGAAATGATTACTCTACATATATTCTCGTGTCTTTGTGGCTTATATTAAATACAAACTGTGATATTGAAAATGAACCTTTTTCTATTCATCTCATTTACATAATTTATATATAAAAATCATTGAAACATCATCATTATCATTTTAAAAGTCTGTATCATGTATTCTGATTATATAAAGTGTTGTATACATATAAAGAGCGCTGGCGTCTCCAAATGAGTGAAAAATTCTTGATATGAACATTAAAAACAATTAAGAGTCAAAATCAGCAAGCATCGAGCATTTAGTTAAAAAATGTGGAATGTGGCATAGAAACAGATTTGGTTAAAACTCGTATATAAATTTTCAGAACATAGGGTATGATAGAAAAAGGCAAGCAAACATTGTTGCTATGGAAACCACGCGCCTTTCAAATAGCGTGTTTTGTACTTTATCATGACACTTGAATTTATGGTTAAACAAATAATTTTTTATAACTAGTCATTAAAAAAGCTTTTCAATTATTTTTTTATTTATATGAATATACTCTATTTTAACAACTGTTGATTATTGAAATTCTCTTCACCTTTCGATAAATTAAACTAGTTATTGGAGGTTTATTTTGCTTTAAAAACAGCAAATTTAAAATAATCTATAAGAAATCTACAACCTAATTGAAGCTTATCAACATAAAATATTTATTAAACAGTATTTGTTCTAGAAGAATCAAGAAAAAGAATCTGCAGGCAGCTAAAGCATTTATATATGATAACTGATTTAAATCCATAATTTTCTGTCACTTTTGCTTCAAATTACCTCCCTATGATATAGCTCTCTAACATAGGAGGAATAAACGGTAGTTTGCTTACTTGTTCTCATATATCAATGTACAGAAGACTAGCAGAAAGTTACAAACTTGGAGCAGTCTGAGCCTCAGTTTTGGCGTTTTCATGAGTCTTAATTACGGTGAGCGATTGAAATTTTTACAATTTAACATTACAACAGTTACTGAAGAATGTATAGCATAAATTAATCATGCAGTAAAATATGTAACACTTGGCAAGTGTTTTTGAACATTTCATTTTTATATTTCTGATTGATTATATATGTTAGAATTACTTTAGTATTTTATAACTAAAAAGAAAAGATTATGCATGGCCCGAGGAACCAGGAGGAGGGAGGTTTGCCCCTCCCCCGTAATATTGTCGATATTAAACTATGATATGATAAAATGAAATTAAGTTCCCCAACTTAGATTGTTTCTGCGGGCCTAACGTGAAAAAGTTGGTCATGATCAGTTACGTAACTGTATCCCAAATTATAAAGTTTAATTAGAATATAGTTTAATTTTATTTTGTTGTGTTCACGGTATGTATGTAACCAAAGTCACTCACCAGCTATAATGATTATAATTGATGGTCGGGTAAATAAAAATTTTGTATATAATAGTAGATATCTTTATTTACCATTTAAAATAATACCTGCTTTTACATGAAAAATCATGAATTTCTGAAAACCTATTATGAAATATTTGGAAAATGGAATGACCTTTGTTATGGCGTCCGTAAAAAAGAAAGAAAATGAAAAAGGGGCAGAGGGTTAACTCTGTACTTAATATATTTTAGTTTAGGAAAGGGGATTACCTTGGAAGTATTGTGATACAAACAAGGGTATTATGTAGTGGACTAGTGGTAACTGAATTGAATATATGCCACAGTAAAATAATTAATTTGAAAAAATAAAAACTTTTTTGCTGATGTCATCCTGTGTTTACTTATAATTTATTAAATGAATATCTATACTCCATTTTGTCTGAGGGAGGGGGGGGGTTATTGGAGAGAAATGTCAATTTAGAGTTTTGACAAAACCTAGAACCAACTGACCTTTTTATTGCAAGTTTTTAAATTTAAAGAATACCTAAAATCAATACGGTCTCAACTTTGTGTTGTATACTTTTGTTTTTAGAATGAAATTTGGCACTTTGAAGCCAAAGTCGGAAAGAAGCAGAAAACAGAATTGGATGAGCTGATATAGAATAAGACAGGAAAAACATGTAAATATTACATTTAGTATAAACGTTAACTTTTAAAAATAAAATAATATACCATTGAGATCCAATAAACATGCTTTGCATTCATCATCATTTCTCAAGCTCAACTAGAAATGGTTCTAAGTATATGAAGGCAAAGCTGTATAATATTATTACATTTTAATTTTATCACTTTTTCAGATTATGAGAATACATTATTACAGTACAGACCATTGATGCTGGGAGTGAGTGGATAGTGTTACCGGAGACTCAGGGATCCAGAAAATAGATCCATAAATTGTACAGTGTATTCATGAAAGTGGATCAAATAAAAATGTTCAATCCAAAAGTAACATTCTTTGTTTGTCTGTTAGCATTTTTTTTATGTAAATTTAATAACTATCAATTTTTGGCATGCAGATTCATAATTAGATAGTAGAAGAATCTGAAACTTATCTTTATATTCTGCATTTTGAAGTATCATAATTAAAACAAGGTCAATATTAAATGATCAATGAATTAATTTCAAAACTGATCATGACAAAATGTTTTTGTGAGAAAAAAGAAAGAGAGCTAATTTATATATTGTACCTCATGTACCCCTGATGTTGGTCATGTTGGTGTGAGTGAAATGAAAATGATGATGATGATGAACTAGTTTAAAGTCAGACGACACGTTCCTCAAATATATGTTTTGTATCTCTAGGTATTATATATGTAAAATATTCATATTTGTCATTCTCTTCTGATTTCTACATTTTTTTCAAAATGTTTTTAAATATAAGTACAACAAAAATATTGATATATGCCATTCAAAAGATTGCCGATTAGGGTTTTTAATAAATATCTTTTCGGATCAGTTCAAGTTTAGACATTCATATATATATATATATATATATATATATATATATATATATATATATATATATATATATATATATATATATCCCTTCCAGATTTTTATTTTAGGCACCAGTAGCTACTGAGGTCTTAGCTATCTTGCAGTATTGCAGTCATTCGTTCTTGACAGACATGGTATCGTTTTTGAAAGTGCATGGTGTGGGGTAGGCATAAAAAAAATGCTAGAAAAAAGTGGGGAAATTCTCCAAACCGGGGGGGGGGTAAACATCAGTCTATGTTGAGAAAAAAGTTGGGTGGGGGATGTCATCCCCACCTACCCAACCCAAACCTGATGCTACATGTCTGATTGATATGGTTTTACTTTAAAATTATGTAAGCTGTCATAGTGACTCTCTTTCATAAACTAGTATTATTGTGAGCAAGCTCATAAAATGATACCCACCCTCCTGCTATTGCATTAAATGTTTTTTTATTTCAAAAGAGGTCCAAATATTAATTAAAAACCTTTTTAAAATTTTGCTAGTGCAGATATACATACAATCAAAGTACTGAAAGTACTGATAGACGGAGGCTTGGAATGAACATGATTGTTTGTCTCTTTGGGAATTTTTTATTCATATTCTGACCCCAACATTTGCCTAAGGGTAGTTGGCCACATCTTTTGAAAAGTAGATACCAGGACATTAATACTTCATATATCTTTTTTTTCGTGGAAAGACTTTTCATTGGATATTAACAAACTTGACCTTTTGACCTTGACCTTCGATATTCTATACTTATGAAAAAACTTTAACCTTGGCCATGACTTTTGAATGGTAAGGGAT